GGGGGGATTCTGGGCGTTGTAGTCTTAAGAACGGAGCGTGTCTCGCTACCCCCAGTCAGGGGAGAGGAGGGTGGCAGTTGCCACGCCCACCCCAAGGGGCCCAATGCTTCCCCCCCCGCCCCCAGGGGGATGCATCCCCACGGACACACACACCCGTGCAAACCTCAGGGCATCGGCTACACACGTGTGCAAACCTCAGGGCATCCGCTGGAAGGGAGCGACCCCCCTGCCCCTCCTCCCGGCTCTGAACTTAAAAGAGGCTTCGCAGGATGTGACCCCTTTGGGCTGCCCAGAAAGCGGCCCCCTCCTGACACACGAAGCTGTTTAAAGGGCAGCAGCGCAAGGGCACCCAGCTGGGTGGCCTCGATCCGGACCTTCGCCAGAATAGTCTGGGCACCAAGCGCTGAGGAGTCGATTCCCATCCCCTCCTTTTTGTGGTGTGCGCGCGTGTGTTGGTGTGTTTCGGGACCACCGGGGAGCTTGCCCAGGGCTGGCTCTTCTCCCAGGAAGGCACAAGTGGGGATTCGAACTCCCAACCCGGTCCTGCGGACTCCAGCTCTCAGCCACTTCCGTGTGTTTCCTACAGGGCACAGACCGGGGGCTTTTTGCTCTGGAGGTGAGAAGTGTTATCGTTCCACGCGCACGGCTGAGGGAAGACCGCTCTTGTCTTGGCTTCAGGGCCTTTGCCAAGATTCGTTCTTGACCTTTCCCAGGTGCAAAAGAGAGAGCAATAGATTGACAGGCCGCCTTCTTAGCAGGGCTGTAGGAGTAAATGTGGAAGCAGAGGTGCTCACCCTGGCTGTCCCCAAACTCACCCCTGTCATGTATTCGCGAAGGCTTTCACAGCCAGGATCCAATCATTGTTGTAGGTCTTTCGGGCTGTTTGACCATAACATTTTTCTTCCTAAACGTTTCCCCAGTCTCTGGCCAGCATCTTCAGAGGACAGGAGTCAGAACACTGTGCTCTGGTGCAGTGTGTGAGGTAGTTGAGTATTCTCCCCCCCATCACAACAAAACACCCATAACAAAAAAACAAAAACAAAACGCCCTGATCACCATAATCACCCAGTCTGAAAAGGACAAAAACTTGATCCCACAGCTGCAAATACTCAACTATCCCACACACGATACCAGAACACAGACAGAGTTCTGTCCTCTGAAGAGGCCAGCCACAGAGACTGGTGAAACATTAGGAAGAAAAACCTCCAGAACATGGCCAGACAGCCCAGAATACCCACAACAATCACCCCTGTAAGATTCCAAAAATAAAGGCAGTCGGATTTGGCCATATTAACAAATGAGGAATCCATCTTTCATAGAATTAATGGCTGTGGTGATGGGCTGTCAAGTTGCCTCCAAATGGCCGTGGCCCTCTGAATGAGCCATCTCCAACCGGTCCTCTCTGTCCTCAACTGCCCTGCTCAGCTCTTGAAAACTCAAACCAGTGGCTTTTCCTTTATGGAGTCAGTCTATCTTATCTTTTCCTGCTGCCTTCCTCCTTTCCCAGCCCTGTCCCCCCCCTGCCAGGAGAATCCTGCCTTCCTTCATGATGTCCAAAGCATCGTGTCTACTTCCAAAAAGTTCAGCCTTGGTTTGATCCTAGATCCATTGCATCAAAGCAATAAAGTAATCTGCAACTGTTTTGATATTAATATACTGTTTGGAAATTTTGCAGGACTTGTTTTTCTATGGCTGAGGTTTCTCCGAACTTTTCCACATCTCCCTTGAGATGGGTCCTAATGAAGCTAGATGTTCTTCTGCAATGACAGCTGAGCAATCCTCAGATATTATTAGGCGGGCAGCCCAATCTCCTGGCGCTAGACTCAGCAATGTGCCTGTCATCTGCCGTGAACCTGCATCTGGGGAGAGGCTGCTGATGTTGGCAGAAGCGAGGCCCTCTCTTTCTGCTGGCAGACAGCCAGAGGGAGCAGATGGAAAAGGGACCATTTCTGAGTTTGTGGCTGTTTAGTTGAAGCAAGGAGAAACGGACTTTGAGTCTGTGGACTAGTTGCTGCTTTCAAAATGGAATCATCTCAGTTTAGTCAGGCTGGAAGGAAGTCCTTCACTGGGATTCAAAACGGGAGGGTGGCTGCCTCTCCTCGTTCAGCCTGCAGAAAGAGGCCCTTGGCACGTGCCCAGAGGTGCATTGAAGACAGTGGAGGATTAGAGGAGTGTCCAACGGCTATGCAACCAGAGGATGGTGGCTGCAGCGGCTTCTGCCTCCTGCAAAAAAACCCGTGAGAATCCAGCCGGTCGAGACCGGATGGAGGACTCCGATGCAAGAGACCGAGCAGGCCTGCGTCCGTCCCGGCCTCCCCAGGAGAGACCCAAGGAAAGGCGGATGATGTCCCTGGTGGTTGAGCTCCGGCCTCAGGTCCAAAGGCCATCCTCCAGTTTACTCCCTCTGTGTGTGTGCGGGGGGGGGGGCTCTTTCTATCTGTTTCCTCCCCAACATCACCCTTCCCGGTGGACGTTTTATGCACAACTTCACTTTTAATTTCAAGTTTTGTTTTCCAACGTGGCGAACTCCATTTTTAACACACATCTCTCTCCTGGCATCCCTTCTCCCAAAGTTTTATTCTCTCATGTCATACTGTATTTTGACTGAAGTCCCCGTTCGGAGTGAGGCTGGTCTTGGACGATGGCAAGGGAGGTAGGATAGAGTTCTGGGGAAAGTTCTGGCTTGGGGAGGGTCGGGCTCGAGCGATCGTAAACCCAACCCCATTTTCCAGTTCCCGGCTTCTCTTTCTCTGTTGATGTCCGTTCGGCCATGCTTTGTACACAACTCTGCCTCCCCTTCTGTCCGAGGCTTCCTGCCTGATTGATGGGATGGGTGCCCTGGCAAGAAGGGCCTCCTCCGCCTGCCTCTTCTCCCACTCTCCCTTTGGGAACGCCTTGGCATGGATGCCCAGGAGGAAGAAGGCGTTCCTGCATGAATTTCTGAAGGCAAATTTGACACCAAGGACAGTACAGAGACCCTTGAGTCGGTGTGATGAAACTGGCAGAGGGTCAAACCTGGGCCCGAGGGAGTGGGGTCCGAATCCCCACTTGGCCATGGAAACTGAGGTGGGTCACGCTGGGGAAACCGTTCCTTGAACATCTTAGAGGCCTCGAAAACCTTATTCGGGATGCCCTAAAAGGAAGGATAGCATATCAGCCTCTGCCCTCCGAGAGGTCCTTGGTAAAAGAGACCTCCCGCTAAGGAAATGGGAAGCCTCCACGTCTCCCAGTTTTGGGTGCTTCCCATTTGCAGTGCGGATCTGGCCGCGTGTCTGGGCTCTCCATCCCAGGAAGAGAGCCTGAGGTTGATCCCCGAGTTGCAAAGGGCTCTCTGCTCATCATAACCGTTGTTTCGGTCTTACTTCTGGCTGGTGACCCTCCCTCCCTTGGGGGGTTGCCTGCTGTTCGTAATGCCATTTACGGATTCCTGTTATCTGGGCCCAGATGTCGGGGGTATTAACGGAGAAAATTAAAGTGATAGTGCGTGAGAGTACTGTAGAAAAAGCCTGCTGGAGGAGGATGTATTTAAACAGTGGTCAAAGCCAGCAGAGGTGGGGCGGGCAGGAAGGTTCATGGCTATGATGATTAAACAAGACGGAGAGAGGGAAAATCCTGCCTTCGATTTATAGTAATCCCAGATGATGGCAAAGGTATACTGTATATGTTCCTTCCGGTGAGAATACCTGCCAGTCACAGCAGACAACGCTGATTTAATTGAATTGGCACAAGGCACCTTGGTATGTTTATGAGCCTCCTCAGATGATCACCGTGGAGTATGTATGTTTCATGGTCGTTGCAGCCTGCCCGGGAAACTCCCTGCGAGGTAGGCCAGATTGTCCTCCTCCCTGGTTCTTCTTTTGCCAGTCGGCAAAGAACTTTCTGTTCACTCGTTCAGCAGTTGATAAGGAAGCACTTTAATGAGAGATGTTGTATGGTCTAGAGGGGTGGGGTATAAATCTAATAAATAAATAAAATAGCAAAGATCAGTGGCTGTTTTAATCTCACAGTCTGCCTGCCTGCTTTTTTAATAGCTGAGATAGATAGATAGATAGATAGATATCCTTTAAAATGGCAAAGATCAGTGGCTGTTTTAAACTCACAGTCTGCCTGCCTGCTTTTTTAATAGCTGCATTTAACTGCATGTTTCAGGCCCTCTTTCTTTATGGGGGAGAAAGGTGTAGGAATAAAATGAATTAAAAGACCACAGCTTGTTTTTTGGTTAGCAGTTGAGTCACAACGAGATGGGTCCTCGGTGATTACGCTGATGGAGAACTTTCAGCTTCTCTGCACACAGTCATTCTAGTTGACTTCTGAAGGTTAAACAGGTTTAGCAATACCATGATTGCGATGTAATGCCCATTTCCTGCCCTCAACGGCCTATTCAGCTTCACACCCCTTCTGCGCAGATTCAGTTCAGAACCTGGGATTGAAGGGAGGGTGTTAAAATCTACTCCAGAAGAGAAGGAATACGCACGTAGGCTTGATACTTATGTACTGTGCATGCATCTGTGTAGATCCAGTCATTCTAAACCCATTTACAAGCAAGCACGACGGGCTGGAGAGCTCAGTGAGATGGGGCACCCGTGTTCAGAGATGGATTCTCCCTGGGTCTCCAGTGGAAGGGGGAAAAAAAAAGTCTTGTGTGGCCTTGGGCAAGCTGCAAGGTGACTTTTGTGTGACACTGCAAAGAGGGACCAACTAGTCAAGGGCCTCTGAGTACTACGCTGTTCCTGGAAAATCTTAGCAAGGGTGGCGACAAATTGGAGCTGATCTAACAGCCTGTGAATCTACCACAGCAAGAGGGCTTGCTTCTGATTAAGCACACAAAAGGCTTGCCCGCTGGACGATGGCTGTGTCCACTCAGGTGAAGATGCTGGAAGTCTGGTTTAATTAAAAAAAAACACGTGAAAGGATTTTGACAAGCACAAGCACACTTGCTTTAAATGGATTGTTTATAAATGTGTCTTTAGAATTCAATTTATCATTTCTAATAGAATTCTTAATTCTTTTTAAAATATTTGTACTTCATTGTTTTTAGTTTTTTAATATTGTCTCTTTAATGATGTGAGCCACCTTGGGTCCTTTTGAGGAGAAAGGTGGGGTAAAAATATTTTAAATAAATAAATAGCAAGCACAGCAGTTAACTCAAACTCAAATCTGTTTACTCGGGGGGTGGGGTCTCCCGACGGTCAGGTGTACTTCTTACTCTTGCTTTGATAGGGGACAGAGACAAGTTAGAAACACCGAGCAAAGACACGAAATGAATGAAGAAATGAACCCCTACGTGCAAGGAAAGGTCAGGATGACCTTAAAAGAACACGAAGCCACCCAGCGTGCTGTTTTGTTTTCCTGGATTTATTTTAATAAACGTTACACGTTCAAATGAAGCATCATCACAATGAGAACAGAGCGTCGTCACATTTAGCAAAGAAAACAAGGCAGAAGCCGATCAGT